GGGGAATTAAAAAAGTCAGTCAGTCGCCCAAAGTTTCAAAAGCAAGTAGTATAGACAGTAGCTTTAAAAGCAGCAGTAATAATAACAACAATAGTAATGTAGGTAGTACTGGTAAGATTTGCGGTAATATCAATGGTGGTAGTGATATTGGGGGTTGTATTAGTACTGGTAATAATAAAAGTGCTGGTAGTCAGTCTAGCAATAAGTCCTGGTAGTAATGCAGGGAGTAGTAACATTAATAGTAACAATATTCGTAGCTGAAAGTGTCAGTACAAAAGAACAGTGGGGAAATTGCGACAAGTTAACCTTCAATAATAAAGTTCAAAATGAGTTTAAAATAGACATGAAAAGAAACTCCAATATTCCTGCTGGCCAATGCTAGGTAAGAAATTAGAAGTAAATAAAAAGTCTCCAAGACTGCTGTCACCTCTAGTCAACAGATAAAGCCTACTTCCCAAGCGAAACATTTCATGAATAATGATACCTGTTACAATGTCTCTTACCAACCTGGTATTGTACACCATTTATAATGAGAAATCTGGTTCAGGAAAAAAAGGTGCAGTCGAAAGTAGTCTCATAACCCAGGTTATACCAAAACGTCTAACGTTTCCTCCCCAAGTGTCAGTTTTGTGAACTTACTAAACAGAGCAACAGACTTGCCAAAGGCATAAAATACGTAGAACACCCACCACAACCACTACCCAAAGCCCGAAACCCACCAACATCCCCACGGAAACCACGTGAAATAACAGATTCCACACAGCTTCTGAAGGTCGTTGGTGGGTTCCAAGGCCAACAGTTCTACGTAATCTATGCCTTCGGGGGAGATTACTCTCCCCTGCTATATGCATTCATAATGCATATAGCAGATTCTCTATTTTATTCTTACCTAAATATATAAAACTACTTACAATACACTTATGGAAACTAACAATGGAAAAACAATTCGAGACGATCTTTTAGTTTCTCTTGGACGAGTATCAAGTCAGACCAAGGGTCAAAAAGTATAACAGACCACAAGACAGGTCGCAAAAACCATGGAGGGTGGGGGGGGTGAAATTACAAAGGGCGTCAGTCGACCAAGTTTCAAAAAAACAGTAGAAGTGGTATAGACTAGCAGTAAAAGCAGCAGTAATAACAATAGTAATGTAGGTAGTACTGGTAAGATTTGCGGTAACATCAATGGTGTTAGTGATAATGCTAATGGTGGTAGTATTAGTAGTGGTAATAAAGTCTGGTAGTCAGTCTAGCAGTAAGTCCTGGTAGTAGTGGAGGTAGTAGTAACATTAACAGTAGTAATAGTAACAATATTCGTAGCTGAAATAGTGTCAGTACAAAAGAACAGTGGGGAAATTGCGACAAGTTAACTTTCAATAATAAGTTCAACAGGAGCTTACAATAGACATGAAAAGAAACTTCAATATTCCTTCTGGCCAATGCTAGGTAAGAAATTAGAAGTAAATAAAAAGTCTGGCTAAGAGACTGGCCATATTTTATCAAGGTTGGAGGGTAGAATTCAAAATTAACTCTCCAATTTAGTCTCCCACACTGCTGTCACCTCTGTAGTTAACAGATAAAGCCTACTTCCCAAGCGAAACATTTCATGAATAATGATACCAACTTGGTATTGTACACCATTTATAATGTGAAATCTGGTCCAGGAAAAAAAAGGTGCAGTCGAAAGTGATCTCAAAACAACCCAGGTTATACCAATACGTCTAAAGCTTCCTCCCCAAGTGTCAGTTTTCTGAACTTACTAAACTAAGCAACATTAGACCAGCCAAAGACAAAATACGTAGAATACCCACCGCAACCACTACCCAAAGCCCAGGACCAACCAACATCCCCTTAGAAACTATGTGCAAAAACAGAATCCACAGCTTCTGAAGGTCGTTGGTGGGTTCCAAGGTCCAAAGTTCTACGTACCCTCGGGGAAGATTACTCTTCCTTGCTATATGCATTCATATTGCATATAACAGATTCTCCAGGAGGGTCTAGGCAAGATCAAGGGGGTCTAGGTAAGATCAAGGGGGGTCTAGGTAAGATCAAGGGGGTCTAGGTAAGAAAAGGGGGCTAGTAATTAAAGGGGGGTCTAAGTAAATCAATCAGCCTGTAACTAAGTAAGATCAATAAATCTGTAATATATGGTTTTAACCCAAAAATTTAAAAAAACAAATTCCCCCCCCCAAGGCGCTCTTAGAACGGGAGTATGGCGCAAAACTCAAGACTAATAAAAATATTTTTGGGACTTCAAAGAAAAAAATTTACTTGGCCGGCCCTCTAAAAACCCTACTAAAAATGAAAGATGTAGTTTAAACCCACATTT